TGCTGATCTTGCTGGACCCCGGACCCTTTTTTTCTGCCAATCTTACTGGCCCATTCAACAAAGTGAGCTTGCTGACACAAAGGTCCATTCTGTCTGATGATCTTGCTGGATCCATGACCCTTTTTTTTCTTCCAATCTTACTGGCCCATTCTGCAAAGTGAGCTTGCTGACACAAATGTCCATTCTGTCTACTGATCTTGCTGGACCCCGGACCCTTTTTTTCTGCCAATCTTACTGGCCCATTCTACCAAGTGACCTTGCTGACACAAAGGTCCATTCTCTCTGCTGATCCTGCTGGACCCATGACACTTTTTTTTCTTCCAATCTTACTGGCCCATTCTGCAAAGTGAGCTTGCTGACACAAATGTCCATTCTGTCTACTGATTTTGCTGGACCCCGGACCCTTTTTTTACTTCCAATCTTACTGTCCCATTCTATCAAGTGAGCTTTCCGACACAAAGGTCCATTCTGTCTGCTGATCCTGCGGGACCCCTGACCCTTTTTTTCTGCCAATCTTACTGGCCCATTCTACCAAGTGAGCTTTCCGACACAAAGGTCCATTCTGTCTGCTGATCCTGCTGGACCCCTGACCCTTTTTTCTGCCAATCTTACTGGCCCATTCTGCCAAGTGAGCTTTTCTGACACAAGGTCCATTCTGTCTGCTGATCTTGCTGGACCCCCTGACCCTTTTTTTTTTTTTTCTTCCAATCTTACTGGCCCATTCTGCCAAAGTGACCTTGCTGACACAAAAGGTCCATTCTGTCTGCTGATCTTGCTGGACCCCTGACCCTTTTTTCCTTCCAATCTTACTGGCCCATTCTGCAAAGTGAGCTTGCTGACACAAAGGTCCATTCTGTCTGCTGATCTTGCTGGACCCCTGACCCATTTTTTCTTCCAATCTTTTGGCCCATTCTGCTGGATGAGCTGGCTGACACAAAGGTCCATTCTGTCTGCTGATCTTGCTGGACCCCTGACACTTTTTTTTCTTCCAAACTTACTGGCCCATTCTGCCAAGTGTGCTTGCTGACACAAAGGTCCATTCTGTCTGCTGATCTTGATGGACCCCGGACCCTTTTTTTCTGCCAATCTTACTGGCCCATTCTACCAAGTGACCTTGCTGACACAAAGGTCCATTCTGTCTGCTGATCTTGCTGGACCCCTGACCCTTTTTTTCCTTCCAATCTTACTGGCCCATTCTGCAAAGTGAGCTTGCTGACACAAAGGTCCATTCTGTCTGCTGATCTTGCTGGACCCCTGACCCTTTTTTTCCTTCCAATCTTACTGGCCCATTCTGCCAAGTGAGCTTGCTGACACAAAGGTCCATTCTGTCTGCTGATCTTGCTGGACCCTGACCCTTTTTTTTTTTCTGCCAATCTTGCTGGCCCATTCTACCAAGTGACATTGCTGACACAAAGGTCCATTCTGTCTGCTGATCTTGCTGGACCCCTGACCCTTTTTTTCTTTTCCAATCTTACTGGCCCATTCTGCCAATTGTGCTTGCTGACACAAAGGTCCATTCTGTCTGCTGATCTTGATGGACCCCTGACCCTTTTTTTTCTGCCAATCTTACTAGCCCATTCTACCAAGTGTGCTTGCTGACACAAAGGTCCATTCTGTCTGCTGATCTTGATGGACCCCGGACCCTTTTTTTCTGCCAATCTTACTGGCCCATTCTACCAAGTGACCTTGCTGACACAAAGTTCCATTCTGTCTGCTGATCTTGCTGGACCCATGACCCTTTTTTTCCTTCCAATCTTACTAGCCCATTCTATCAAGTGAGCTTGCTGACACAACGTTCCATTCTGTCTGCTGATCTTGCTGGACCCATGACCCTTTTTTTCCTTCCAATCTTACTTTGCCCATTCTACCAAGTGACCTTTTTCTGCCAATGACACAAATGTCCATTCTGTTCTGTCTGCTGATCTTGCTGGACCCCTGACCCTTTTTTTCCTTCCAATCTTACTGGCCCATTCTGCAAAGTGAGCTTGCTGACACAAAGGCCCATTCTGTCTGCTGATCTTGCTGGACCCCTGACCCTTTTTTTCCTTTCAATCTTACTGGCCTATTCTGCCAAGTGTGCTTGCCCTGACACAAAGGTCCATTCTGTCTGCTGATATTTTTGATGGACCCCTGGACCCTTTTTTTCTTTTCCAATCTTACTGGCCCATTCTACCAAGTGTGCTTGCTGACACAAAGGTCCATTCTGTCTGCTGATCTTGCTGGACCCCTGACCCTTTTTTTCCTTCCAATCTTACTGGCCCATTCTGCAAAGTGAGCTTGCTGACACAAAGGCCCATTCTGTCTGCTGATCTTGCTGGACCCCTGACCCTTTTTTTCCTTTCAATCTTACTGGCCCATTCTGCCAAGTGTTCTTGCTGACACAAAGGTCCATTCTGTCTGCTGATATTGATGGACCCCGGACCCTTTTTTCTGCCAATCTTACTGGCCCATTCTACCAAGTGACCTTGCTGACACAAAGGTCCATTCTGTCTGCTGATCTTGCTGGACCCCTGACCCTTTTTTTCCTTCCAATCTTACTGGCCCATTCTGCAAAGTGAGCTTGCTGACACAAAGGCCCATTCTGTCTGCTGATCTTGCTGGACCCCTGACCCTTTTTTTCCTTCCAATCTTACTGGCCCATTCTGCCAAGTGTGCTTGCTGACACAAAGGTCCATTCTTTCTGCTGATCTTGATGGACCCCGGACCCTTTTTTTCCTTCCAATCTTACTAGCCCATTCTACCAAGTGACCTTGCTGACACAAAGTTCCATTCTGTCTGCTGATCTTGCTGGACCCATGACCCTTTTTTTCCTTCCAATCTTACTGGCCCATTCTACCAAGTGACCTTGCTGACACAAAGTTCCATTCTGTCTGCTGATCTTGCTGGACCCATGAATCTTTTTTTCCTTCCAATCTTACTAGCCCATTCTACCAAGTGACCTTGCTGACACAAAGTTCCATTCTGTCTGCTGATCTTGCTGGATCCATGACCCTTTTTTTCTTCCAATCTTACTGACCCATTCTGCCAAGTGTGCTTGCTGACACAAATGTCCATTCTGTCTGCTGATCTTGCTGGACCCCTGACCCTTTTTTTTTGCTGGACCCCTTCCAATCTTACTGGCCCATTCTGCCAAGTGTGCTTGCTGACACAAAGGTCCATTCTGTCTGCTGATCTTGCTGGACCCCTGACCCTTTTTTTCCTTCCAATCTTACTGGCCCATTCTGCCAAGTGTGCTTGCTGACACAAAGGTCCATTCTGTCTGCTGATCTTGATGGACCCCTGACCCTTTTTTCTGCCAATCTTACTAGCCCATTCTACCAAGTGACCTTGCTGACACAATGGTCCATTCTGTCTGCTGATCTTGCTGGACCCCTGACCCTTTTTTTCCTTCCAATCTTACTGGCCCATTCTGCCAAGTGTGCTTGCTGACACAAAGTTCCATTCTGTCTGCTGATCTTGCTTGATCCATGACCCTTTTTTTCTTCCAATCTTACTGACCCATTCTGCCAAGTGTGCTTGCTGACACAAAGGTCCATTCTGTCTGCTGATCTTGCTGGACCCCTGACCCTTTTTTTCCTTCCAATCTTACTGGCCCATTCTGCCAAGTGTGCTTGCTGACACAAAGGTCCATTCTGTCTGCTGATCTTGCTGGACCCATGACCCTTTTTTTCCTTCCAATTTTACTAGCCCATTCTACCAAGTGACCTTGCTGACACAAAGTTCCATTCTGTCTGCTGATCTTACTTGATCCATGACTCTTTTTTTCTTCCAATCTTACTGACCCATTCTGCCAAGTGTGCTTGCTGACACAAAGGTCCATTCTGTCTGCTGATCTTGCTGGACCCCTGACCCTTTTTTTCCTTCCAATCTTACTGGCCCATTCTGCCAAGTGTGCTTGCTGACACAAAGTTCCATTCTGTCTTCTGATCTTGCTGGACCCATGACCCTTTTTTTCCTTCCAATCTTACTAGCCCATTCTACCAAGTGACCTTGCTGACACAAAGTTCCATTCTGTCTGCTGATCTTGCTGGACCCATGACCCTTTTTTTCCTTCCAATCTTACTAGCCCATTCTACCAAGTGACCTTGCTGACACAAAGTTCCATTCTGTCTGCTGATCTTGCTTGATCCATGACCCTTTTTTCTTCTTCAATCTTACCAACCCATTCTGCTGCAAGTGAGCTTGCTGACACAAAGGTCCATTCTGTCTGCTGATCTTGCTGGACCCCTGACCCTTTTTTTCCTTCCAATCTTACTGGCCCATTCTGCCAAGTGTGCTTGCTGACACAAAGGTCCATTCTGTCTGCTGATCTTGCTGGACCCCTGACCCTGACACTTTTTTTTTTCTTCCAAACTTACTGGACCATTCTACCAAGTGACCTTGCTGACACAAAGGTCCATTCTGTCTGCTGATCTTGCTGGACCCCGGACCCTTTTTTTTTTTTCCTTCCAATCTTACTAGCCCATTCTACCAAGTGACCTTGCTGACACAAAGTTCCATTCTGTCTGCTGATCTTGCTTGATCCATGACCCTTTTTTTCTTCAAAAAACCCATTCTGCCAAGTGTGCTTGCTGACACAAAGGTCCATTCTGTCTGCTGATCTTGCTGGACCCCTGACCCTTTTTTTCCTTCCAATCTTACTGGCCCATTCTACCAAGTGTGCTTGCTGACACAAAGGTCCATTCTGTCTGCTGATCTTGCTGGACCCCTGACACTTTTTTTTCTTCCAAACTTACTGGACCATTCTACCAAGTGACCTTGCTGACACAAAGGTCCATTCTGTCTGCTGATCTTGCTGGACCCCGGACCCTTTTGTTCTGCCAATCTTACTGGCCGTTTCTGCCAAGTATTATTAGTATACAGTTATGTTTTTAAAGACATTTTTTCAAGGGTGGAGAAGAAATGTCCACCAATAATAATAATGAAGGAGTTTTTTTTTCTCCACTCTTGAAAATAAATCTCTTTAATTATGTCTACCTTTTATTACATAATAATGAAAGTTATAGATTATTAATATTTTCATCATGAGTTATAGCGTTAGGACGTATGGCAAATAAGACTAGAAATTCTTTCATGTGGTAATGCTGTAGGGAGAAATGAAAAGATATCATATCGTTTGAAGTAAAAAAATTGAAACAGTTTTTTTTTTAATGAATGAATGAAGGATGGCTACAAATTACGAAAGAGTAAAGAAAAATACAAAATTTCAAGAAGTTTAGAAAAAAAATACGCTGGAACCCCGGATGGCAGAATGAAAGAACGGAGTTCGAATTCCAGCCTAGTTCATTACATTCACTTGTGTCCTAATGCTCTTGGCTAAGGTATAAATCTAATTCATCTCCCCGTCTCCCAGCTATGGGTAAAATAGCAGGATATACTGGGTTCTATAGCTTTGGTTCGCAACCGGTCTAGGAGAAGGAAAACTCTGAATTCAAAATTGTATGTAGCCCTGGCGAAAGCACATTCTATGCTGCTAAGGAAAGATTCGTTCATATTGACTCGATGATCCAGACTAAATGTCGATTCCTTTAAAGCGGGAATTCATCAACCCAGGAACTAAGAATGCAAATTTATATATATATATATATATATATATATATATATATATATATATATATATATATATCAAGATGCAAAAATCAATGAAAGGGTAAAACGAATTAAGGGTTGTTTTAAATGGGGAAGGATTGAACCGACGTACGAATGTGGCAGTGAAAACAAATATGGTTTATTTAATTCCGAAAAGATTTTTATTGCTGGTAATATTTTTTTCTTTAAAAATGTATTGTTGGTAATATTTCTTTCACTCAAAAACGTATTTCTGGTAATATTTTTTTTCAAAAATGTATTTCTGGTAATAGTTTTTTCAAGAAAGAATAAGAATGAAAGAGTAGTCGGCACTTTATAGAAAAAGCATAGACAAGATTTGAAAGAAAGAATGAAAGAAAAATGGTATTTGAAAGAAAGAATAAACGAGATTCGAAAGAAAGAAAGGAAGGAAGGAAGGAAGGAAGGAAGGAACAAACAAACAAACAAACAAAAAATTAAGAATAAATGGTATTTGAAAGAAAGAAAGTTAAGACGTATGTCGAAAGGAGGAAAAAGAAAGAAATTTTGTAATCGAAACAAAGAAAGAAACAAAAATAAGAAGTGCTAAATGAAAGTAAAAATTAATATATGATACAAAATGGCAAGTCGAATGCAGAATAAAAGAATTGAATGCTTAAAACAAGTAGGACACTTCCCGTCTAGAACATTCTACATATGGTCAACATAAGCGTAAACGGTCAGTATTTGGCAGACGGCCGATGGATGGCGTTAGACCTGCTGGAAAAATGACCACAGTTTTTCTTCATTTCTTTTTCTTTAATTTTTATTTATTTTAATTTTTCTCTCCTGTTCTATTCACTGTGTCTCAAATATTGAATGGCAAGAATCCAGAATTCGGAAGATGGCGAACCGTGTAGCAATTTCAATTCTTGTCTGATCAAGACAAAGATGGATTTCATTATTTTTTGTTGAGGTGCGCATGCGCAGTGGATAAACGGTCGCCATATTACACTGGTTATACAAAATGCGGAGAAACTAGATTTTTATAATTAAGAATATTACCTCATTTAAATTTCGTAGAAGCGTTATTTTTTGAGAATTCATTTTGTTTTTAAACTTATTATCCTCATGTTTATTGTTTTGGCCGCAATCTTTCAATCAAGATAATTCTCTTCATCCGAGAAAATGTCTCACACTGTCCTTGTTTGTTTCTGTGTCTCCCTTTTGTCTCCTTTCTCTCTCTCTCTCTCTCTCTCTATATATATATATATATATATATATATATATATATATTATAAATTAACTGATTTAAAATATGGTTTTTTCGCTGCACAGTAACAACCATGTTTCAAAAATATCAACGCCGAAGTAGTTAAGCAACTTATACCCCATGATCTTCTCTCTGATAAGCAATATGGTTTCCGCTTTGCCCAATCTACAGCTGTTGTTCTCACGGCCATAACTGAATTTGTTTACCAAGCTCTTCACTATAACGTTCCGTGGCTCTAGATATCTCTAAAGCATTTGATAGGGTTTAGCATGACGGCCTTCTTCGTAAGCTTCAGGGATATGGTATTTCAGGATGATTATTTGACTTAATATGATCATTTACAACAAACTGTGTAATGAAGGTCGTCTTTAACGGATTCTCCTCCAGTTCATTTCTCACGAACGCAGGTGTTCCCCAAAGCCCTATCCTGGGTCCTACACTGTTTCTGATCTTCATTAACGATCTTCTTGATGTCATCAGTTCCCAAGTTCGAAGTAGGCTTCTATGCAAATGACACCACTATTTACTCCTGCGTAAATAGCAAATCTGATATCGCTGACCGTTCGTCTCGAAAAGGACCTCCAATCGGTTGTTGACTGGGCCAGGAAATGGTTGGTTAACTTTAATGCCTCAAAAGCAAAACTGCTCTCTATTACCCACCACAGAGAACCCTCCTCGCCTACCATTAGAATATCTGATGCTCAACTCCATGAGGGCACCTCTTTGCGACTGCTTGGTCTCACACTGTCCCCTGGCCTGAGATGGAACAGATACAGTGAATCAATTGCTTCATCTACTGCAAGGAAAGTTGGTTCTCTGTGTCGCGCTAGAAAGTTTTTTTGTTGTTTTTTTTTTTTTCTCGCCGGAGTCCATCCTTAAAATCAATAAATCAACCTTGCATGGAACACTGCTGCCATATATGGTCTGGAGACCCCGCTGTTCGTCTTATTGTTGAAGCTTGGATAAGCATGGAATAATAATAATACAACACAAAATGTACGTAAACAAAATGTATTGAAACAAGGAAAAGGTACACAATATTTACAGTTAGTTTTGGTATATTCTTGGGAAGACTGTTCCTGTAGAATGGGTTGACTTAATCGCAGTCGGGCAGAGTCTCTCGATTCGATCTCTTCTTCCTTCTCCCAACGTCTTCCGGTACCAACCCATATTTATATCGGTCGGTACTCCACTATGTAAATTAGGTGGATCGTACCACAACACTTATGATCCTTGACAAAATCCTTGACAAAATCCAGAGACGGATATGCAATGTGGCTGGCTCTGATCTGGCATCTCGTTTACAGTCGCTCTCTCACAGACGTGCCGTTGCTTCTCTCTGTCTTTTCTACAAATACTTTCACGGTAACAGCTCCGACGAACTACTTTCGCTGGTTCCCAGACTGCATGAATTTAAATGTTCCACTATGTAGGCATATCATTCCCACCCTTTCACTGTCGAAACAGTTAAATGTAGCCGTCTCTTCTACTCCAATAGCTTCATGTCTCGCATTTCCCATCTTTGGAACTCCCTTCCTTTTACTTGCTTCCCTGATAGCTATAATCTTCAACTATTCAAATGCAGTGTCAGTCGACATCTCCAGATGCCTTGATCTATTCCCCGCCCTTCTCTTCATCCTTTCCTCTTTCACGCCTCTTTACTCTTGCTCCCACTTTCTGTAACCCCTTGCGTTCTAGTGGCACTCCCACTTTGCTTTGGGTGAAAAGTTTTTAAAAAAATATCTAAGGTAGAGTCTTCTTGTTCCATTGCTCATGTCTAGAGATATTTCGTCTAGTTTTTATTTTTATTTAGTACTGTTCATTTATTAGTCAGCCGTTTTCAATAAGTGCAAATACGCACTGCCCAACCCAGGGATCGAACTCACAAATTCGCGTTTAATTTAAGACCAAAATATGCAGCCAATTAGAGACATTAGAATCAAGCATGTGCGGAAATGTAAATATCTTTGAAGCGTTAAAACTGACACAGAAATACGACGATGCATTAGAATTGAGAAAGATGACTATCAAAATCTAAGCAAAGTAATCAGTAACTGGAAAATTTTGTTATAAACAAAGATTTGATAAATCCTCCAATACAATTTGAATGCTGGACGAAGATAAAGTGAAGAATGAGATCTGGTTCTACAGAAATTTGCTGAGAATACACGATGGGATATTTCAGGGATAAGAAGTTTTAAGGAAAATTGTCAGAAAAAAAAGATACGTACTTAAAGAATTAAAGAAAACGATGAAATTTCTGATAGGCATAATGAGAAAAGGTGGCTTGGAGAAATTGACACTCAGAAGGAGTACTGAATGCGAGAGAGACAGAAAAAAGTAGGCAGTGTGAAAATAAAACGTACAAAACCACTAAGGAATGAGCTTAATTATATGCTAAACGTTAAAGGGTATATTTAACAAAAACAAAATCTTTAAAGTGCGTTGATACACGGTAAGCAAGATATAGTAAGTAATAGTCCTAAACTGGCCAAAATTGATGTTCGTAAATTTTCCATATTGAATACAGCTGTATCGTTATGGTTTTCGTTTTTTTTGTTTATACACTCTGAATATTGCTTGCTACTATTCTATTTTAAAGATTTTTTTTTCCTTTCTTGTTTGTAGGTTGTTCGACTTGTTTTCACGCATTTCGACCTGGGTTACCCCCTGGGAGACCCCTGCAGTACCAGAAATGACCGGCTTCTGCTCCAGGAACGGGTGCCTGGCAGCGGGCTTGAAACCTTCTGCGCGGGACCACACACGAAAGAGATCACCTCCAAAACGAATAACATCAGTTTGGTTTTTATCACAGATTCAAACCACGATGCGCCGGGATTCAGAGTGTTCTACAACGCAGGTAATTATCACAGAGTAACCTCTGCATAGATAGATAGATAGATAGATAGATAGATAGATAGATAGATAGAAACACATACACATATATATAAAAATGATTTGGGATAGATAGATAGATAGATAGATAGATAGATAGATAGATAGATAGATAGATAGATAGATATAAATAATGATTTGGGATAGATATATAGATAGATAGGAGAGGACTGACATGAGAAAAGAATGTGATAGATAGATAGATAGATAGATAGATAGATAGATAGATAGATAGATAGATAGATAATCATTTGAGATAGATGAAAAACAACAAATACATATGTAATGATTTTTTATAGATAGATGCATTTCAAAAACACACACATATATATATATATATATATATAAATAATGTTTGATTTAGAATATAGATAGATAGATAGATCAGATAGATAGATAGATAGATAGATAAATAGACAAAATACACTGATATAGATAGATAAATATTTATAGAATGAATAAATAATATTAGATAATGATTAATGGACATTCTTCAATAGATAAATAGATAATGGATAATATAATAGATGAAAATGAACAGACTTAGTTGTTGAAATAGATAAATAGATAGATAGATGATATTAATGGACAGAAGATGGCAGAGATTTAGATAGATAGATAGATAGATAGATAGATATTAGAAATATAGATATATATAAATGGATACATTAAATTAACGTGAGATAGATAGATAGATAGATAGATATATTAACATAAATATATAGATAGATAGATAGATAGATAGAGAATTTATACATGGGATAGATAGATATATAGATAGATAGATAGATAGATAAATGGACGGGCTTATGATAGATAGATAGATAGATAGATAGATAGATAGTGTTGTGGAGTAGCTGAAGACCCCTACAAGAAGGACTGTTCTAAGATTATTTAAGCAGCATTCTCTCTTACTGTCAGAGAAGTAAACGATTAATTGTTTATTACATTAGTCTGTGTTCTCAACCGTGTACCATATTATTCTCCGGAATAAACTACTTCTTATTTTCTATATGTGGCTCAACCTTTACTATTTAGATAGATAGATAGATAGATAGATATACACATACATACATATATATATAAATAATAATTTGAGATAGATATATAGATATATAGGAGCGGACTAACATGGGAATAGACTGTGATAGATAGATAGATAGATATGAAGATAGATAGATAGATAGATAGATAGATAGATAGATAGATATAAAATAAAAATCTGATAGATAGATATTAGATAGATAGATAATATATAGAAATCATATACAAATGATTTGGTATATATATAAACATATATACACACATATAATATATATATATATATATATTTGAGATAGATAGATAGATATTCAGATAGATAGATAGATAGATAGATAGATAATAATGAATACACTAAATAGATAGATATATATAGATAGATAGATAGATAGATATATATAGATAGATAGATAAAATTCGTTCAATATTAATAATTTGAAACCAATAACAACTTTTCTTGATATTCTGTAATTTCATTTTAACAAAATTTTAAAACTGAATGGCCATCACAAATAAAAGTTGTTCTGAAAACCTATCGATTATAGGAATATTTTTTAAGATTGTGAGTGAAATTAAATTTTGATGAGGACAGAGAAATGTTCGCCCATAATCCCGTTCTCACTCCTCCCGATCTTTTGAAGAGGACTAAAAATGATCCTGTTTGGAATTGGGTTCCCAGGTCTTTATAAATTCTTCCCGTTCTCTTTCACTCCTCTTTGTCCCTTGCGTATTAGTGGCATTACCAACTTGCTTGTGAATTGATTTGGAATTAAAAAAAAAGGAATTGGAAGATTTATCAAAACTTTTTGGCATTAAAGAAAATACTTCATCCCAAAAAGTTCATACTGCACAGAAAAATCGAAGAATAGCGGCCGAAATTGTGTGATAAAAAACAAAAGACAGTGAATATAATCCAAAAAAAATATTGAATCCTCCTGCTGGTTAATATCAGAACTTTGAGTTATTCTGTCTTTTCTGTGTCAGTTCTAAAACCAAAATACACGTTGTCTTGTAAAATCGGTTCCTGGAAGATTCAATAAATATTCTGCCTGCGATGAACATGGCCGACGCGAGTCTCAGGTTTTCTACTGACTTGAAGTAAAACAACTGCATTGAATTAATAGCTGCATCTACTGCAAGGAAATTTGAACCACTCTGTCGTGCCAAAAGATTTTTCACCGTCAGAATCCATCTTGCACATTTAAAAATCTACAATTCGTAAGTGCATTGAATACTTTTGCCATATCTGATCTGGTGTCCTTGCTGTACATCACGAGATTCTTGACCAAATCCAAAGAAGGATCTCTAATGTTATTCTTCGTCGATTGGCATCTCGACTCCAGTCACTTTCTCAAAGTTCAGAGATTGTCTGAAGCAATCACTGACAAATGCACAAATTGCACTTGAGGACTTGGTGAATGTGTTTTTGGATCGTGGCAGCTGGAGGCGTTCCTTCCAAGTGCATTTGAAGATCAGAGGAAGAAGCATTAGCAGTTGATAAGAGATCTGAAAAAAAGGCCAAAATGTTGAACTCCCAGCGAATTTCGGCATTGAATATGATCTCACATGTCTTCAATGTGGTAAAGCTTTTTAAAAATACTTCAGCAAAGGGGGGCTCAAAAGTCACCAGCGACGTCATATGAACCACAACGTCGTTAACTACATGTTCAAAGTTCAAAGATTGTCTGAAGCAATCACTGATAAATGCACAAATTGGTAAATATAACCGATTGGGACATACACACACACACACATATATATATATATATATATATATATATACACATACACATATAAAGTCATGTTGCATCCTTTTTCGAAATTTAAAGGGTCCTGCTTCTACACAATACAGCTGATAATTACGAGCATGGAAAAACCGGCCAAATTATCGGCCGAAAGCGCTTTGGATAGTAACCATTACGGACAATTTCTGTACGCCATTAGTTTTTCCATAAAACTCTAAGAACATCAGAAAAACTTAATAAAGAAAAAACTTACAAGATTTTTCTCGTCTGTCAAATTCAAGGAAACATCTCACGCTAGACTCCTAGAGAGTAACACACTGCGCCCTCTTCGCCTCATGCTTTCCACTGACATGACGTGGAACGACTACATTGAATCAATAGCTGCATCTACTGCAAGGAAAGTTAGGTCAATGTGTCGTGCCAAAAGTTTTTTTCTCGTCAAAGTCCATCTTTCACATTTACAAATCTACAATTCGTAAGTGCATTGAATACTTTTGCCATATCTGATCTGGTGTCCTTGCTGTATATCTTGAGATTCTTGACAAAATCCAAAGAAGGATCTGTAATGTGACTGATCGTGGATTGGCATCTCGATTCCAGTCACTTTCTCAAAGTTCAGAGATTGTCTGAAGCAATCACTGACAAATGCACAAAATGAAATAATATTAAAAACGAAAGAATATTAATATACAACCCAGTGTGTCTGAAGATTTTAAATTTTTATATTTTTTATTGTTCAATATATATATATATATATATATATATATATATATATATATATATATATATATATATATTGCAATGAATCACTCATACAAAATTCATAACGGATACAAACTTTAAAAAGAATAAAATATACAAATTTTTTTTTTTAAAACATATTTCGATTCACATTATATTTTTTCGTCTCGAATCCTACCTGAATTTTACCAAAAACAAAATAATTTCCATGCCCGAAGATGACTGAATGTACGGTCGAAAGTACTTGCGTATTTAAGAAAAACCTTATACAGCTTATAATTTTAAAAAGAATAAAAAAGGATCCTAATATTCATTGAGTGATTTGTAGGTTAATGCATCTTTAAAATTTTGTTTGCGAAAAGGATTTCGCCATTTTATATCATTAACTTTACTAATCTACTTTTTTGTATGAATGATTCATCGTAATATAAATAATTGAACTACACCACATATTTAACACATATATATATATATATATATATATATATATATATATATATATATATACATAAAAAGTGAACATAAAGTCAACACTTAGAGGCGACAGTCTGTTTCATGCTATGTCGCCTCTAAGTGTTGACTTCTATGTTCACTTTTTATATTTACACACGCTCTATCTCTGATATTGAGCACTTTATTCCATAAATATAGCACACCTTAAGACTATATTTCTTTATATATATATATATATATATATATATATATATATATATATATATATATATATAAAGTCATGTTGCATCCTCTTGCGCAGTCTAAGGGTTCCTGCTTCTACACAATACAGCTGATAATACTAGCATGGAAAAACTGGCTAAATTATCGGCCAAAAGCGCTTTGAATAGTCACCATTATGGACAATTTCTGCGCGCCATTAATCCTTCCATAAAAGAAAACTCTAAGAACATTAGAAAAACTTTACTTTTTTTGCGGGGTGGGGGGGTATCAATTTAATTAAACCTGAGAAAGACCGAAGAATATTTCGAAAAAAAAAAAATCGAACAAAGACAATGAATATAATCCGAAAAAAAATCGTTAAATTGCTATAACGATTGTTATTAGAACATGGAGAATGAAATAATTTCTTTCATTCGTCTGTTCCCAAAACCTTTCTGTAAGGTTAATTTTTTTTTTTTTATTAGTATAATTAAACCCAGGAAACCCTAATATATCGGCCAAAAGGGCTGTAATTAAAAAAAAAAGAAATGGTTGTATGTTGTATTTTTTTTTTTTTTGGCTTTTAATATTTCTGTTATATTTTTGTGCAGCTGTAACTGATTTTAACGTTATTTTTATTAAGTATTTTTGCTAATCGGTTTGTTTCAGTGAAGTGCTTTTCTATTAAATTTAGGAATGTCCTACCTATGTTTGTTTTTCAAATGTTTGTCTTGTAAAATCTCTTTCTGAAAGGTTAAATTTCTTTTCTTTTTTTCTTTTTTTTAGTATAATTAAACCCAGGAAAGACTGTGATTAAAAAAAGAAATGGTTGTATGTTGTAATTTTTTGTTGTGGCTTTTTATTATTTTTGTTTTATTTTTTGTGCAGCTGTAACTGATTTTAACGTTATTTTTGTTGAATATTTATTTTTGTTGAATATTTTTGCTAATCGGTGTGTTTCAATAAATTTCTTTTATTTATGTTGTTGTTGGTTTTTATTTCATTTTTTTTAGTATAATTAAACCCAATATATCGTCCAAAAAGGCAGTGATTATAAAAAAGAAACAGGCGTGGCAATATAATCCGAAAAAGAAATCATTGAAGTATGAGTTACAGAGAAAAAACAATCCTGGAAAATCGGTTTATCAATAATTCATTTATTTTTTTTTTAATCAGAAAATGAGTTCGAATTATCTGAAGTCACTAGTTGATTTCGTTTATCGATTACCCTTCGTGAGGCAAGGAAGTCCACAGTTGTTGTTAAAAGATGGATTTGTTTCCCGATTTTTATGTTAATTACAATTAAAGAGACGGTTGTGATACGAGCCTGACACGAAAGGCGTTGTTAATTAAAATCTCCTGCGCTAAATTGTTTTAATTAGCTTCAAACTAACCTTTGCAAAATGACTTGTCTCTTTAGTAGCAATTTGAAATCGAACGTCTAATGAATATTTTTACGGGCGACCTTTGAAACTCATAATGGCGTCTGCAGCGGAAAGGAGGAGGATAATTGGAGATTTGGGTTCAAGTACAATCGGAAATTGGTTGCCTATGAAATTGACGAGGAGCAATATTCAGAAGGAAATTGCCAACCGGATTATTTGTTTTATTCTGGATTTTATAAAAAAATTTCTAATACTTTTAATAGATAGATAGATAGATAGATAGATAGATAGATAGATAGATAGATAATGAACGGACTGGGATAGATAGATAGATAGATAGATAGATAGATAGATAGATAGATAGATAGATAGATAGATAGATATGAAAAGATTGAAAGATAGACAGACAACAGACAGACAGATATATGAACATGGATAGGTAGTTATTAGTATCATCTGCGTATGTATGATTCAGTTGATTGGTTGATTTGGTTCAGTAGTATATCACTCTCTACGGCTTATTTAATTCTGAGATCTGAATATTTTGAACGCAATTTTATGCTTCCAACTACAGATATTTTGGTCAGGGCAAACGTATGTATAGTTTTAGATATGTAGTTTGTAGATGATAAAATGAATTGTAGATATATGTTTTATAAAATATATTTTATATTGTTGGTCCTTTTACTATGAAATGTATTGTTGGTCATTTTGCTATAAACATCTATTGTTGGTAAGAATTTATATATATATATATATATATATATATATATATATATGTGTGTGTGTGTGTGTGTGTGTGTGTGTGTGTGTTTGTGTGTGTGTGTTCATGGTAATTTCACTACGAAAATGTATTGTTGGTATTATTTTTCTAAAAATGTATTGCTGGTATTTTTTATTTTGTTCACTGTTTGCCCATAGATGGGACCCTAAAAGGTACTGCCAAATAAATTACCAGTATTTTACTATAGAAAATAAGTGACGATTTTTAATAAAATTTCCTTTCCCAATATTTGTGCCAATGATGTTTTATATAAAAATTCAATGGCCTAATGATGTTTACTGTAAGATTTCAGTGGCAATGATTTCTACAATAAAAATGCATTAAAAAGAGATTTTACTAAAAAAAAAATATTTTTGACTATAAAATGCATTGTAAATGATTTTTGGTATAATAATTAATTGCCAATTTTTTTCTGTAAAATTCATCGGTCACAGATTTTTACCACTAAGACGCACATGTTATGCATTGGACAATGTTTGTTGCGAAATATTTAATAAAAATGATATTTACGATGAAAATTCATTGTTTATTACTATAAAAATCAGGGACAATAATTATTACTATAAAAATGCATTGCAAATGTTTATTTTTTTTACTATAAAAATGCATTGCCAATGAGTTTTACTATAAACAAGCATTGCCAAATGATATTTACTATAAAAATGCATTGCCAATGAGTTTTACTATAAACAAGCATTGCCAATGATTTTATATTTTTGCCAATGATTTTTACTATAAAATGCATTGCTGATAAACAAAAATGCATTGCCAATGATTTTACTAAAAAATGCATTGCCAATGATTTTTAATAAAAATGCATTGCCAATGATTTTACTATAAAAAATGCATTGCAAATGATTTTTAAATAAAAAAAAGATTGCCAAATGATTTTTACTATAAAATGCATTGCCAATGAGTTTTACTATAAACAAGCATTGCCATTTTTTACTTTTTTTACTATAAAAATGCATTGCCAATGATTTTACTATAAAATGCATTGCCAAATGATTTTACTATAAAATGCATTGCCAATGATTTTTACTATAAAAAAGCATTGCCAATGATTTTACTATAAAATGATTGTTTTTTTATAAAAAATGCATTGCCAATGAGTTTTACTATAAAAGCATTGCCAATGATTTTTACTATAAAAATGCATTGCAATAAAATGCATTGCCAATTTTTTTACTATAAAATGCATTGCTAAATGATATTTACTATAAAAATGCATTTTACTATAAAATGCATTGCCAATGATTTTACTATAAAATGCATTGCAAATGATTTTTTACTATAAAAATGCATTGAATGATTTTTTATAAAAAATGCATTGCCAAATGATATTTACTATAAAAATGCATTGAGTTTTACTATAAACAAATGCATTGCCAATGATTTTTATAAAAAGCATTGCCAATGATTTTTACTATAAAATGCATTGCAAATTTTTACTATAAAAATGCATTGCCAATGATTTTTACTTTAAAAATAAAAATGATATTTACTATAAAAAATTGATTTTTTACTATAAAAATGCATTGCAATGAGTTTTACTATAAAAATGCATTAAATGATTTTTAATAAAATGCATTGCAAAAATTTTTACTATAAAAATGCATTGCCAATGATTTTACTATAAAAATGCATTGCCAAAAAATGATATTTTACTATAAACAAGCATTTTGAGTTTACTATAAAAAAGCATTGCCAATGATTTTTACTATAAAAATGCATTGCAAATGATTTTTACTATAAAAAATGCATTTTGATTTTTACTATAAAAATGCATTGTAAATGATTTTTAAATAAAAAATGCATTTTAAAAAATAATGATTTTTACTATAAAAATTCATTTGCAAATGAATTTTACTATAAAAATGCATTGTAAATGATTTTTAAAATAAAAATGCATTGCCAATTATTTTTACTATAAAAATTCATTTGCAAATGATTTTTACTATAAAAATGGCTCGCCAATAATTTTCATTATAGCATCTGAATTAGTCAATGTTTTTTTTTTATCATAGAAATTGTATTGCCAATGATTTTTACTATAAAATGCATTGCCAAAAATTTTTCTTATAATATCTGAATTAGTCAATGGCTTTTATTATAGAAATTGTATTGCCAATGAATTTTCCTATAAAAATGCATTGCCAATTATTTTTACTATAGCATATGATGTAGTTTATGACTTTTATTATAGAATTGTATTGCCAATTATTTTTACTGAAGGATCCTCTAATAGATTTTCAAGTTTAATTTTTTTTTAAATCATTTATTTTATGTTTTTTCCTAATTCTAATATGTCATATTATGTTTCTACTTGCAGAGTGGCCTTGCAATACTGTGTTGACGAGGGACAACGGAGAGTTTGCCACCCCGAATTGGCCCAACAACTACCCTGGTAATACCGACTGCCACTGGTTGGTGAGGGGACCGACCCACTCTCGGATCATCCTGCGTTTCACAAAAATTGAACTTGAGAATCACGGGTTAGGTCTGTGCAACAACCGGCTGGACAGTATCCAAGTCTACGACGGCGAGAAGCCTAACGAATCAGAACGAATCGCTACCTTGTGCGGCTCTCGGGCCCCAACCACTGTCGATTCGACGTCCAATGTTTTATTGGTCGTGTTTAGATCGGACGAACGGGTGGAACTGACCGGTTTTCACGCCACCTATCGATTCGTCTACCCGACAGTCCGAACGACAGCGGATGCTTACAGGGACGATCGTTCCAGTCGCCGCCCAGCCTTACCTCCTCTTCCACCGCAAGTGACCTCGTCGGACCGGATGGCCTACACGACCACCTATTCGCCGTCCGGTCTACCGGACACTTTACTGACATCCCAGCAGAATATTAGCAAGTCCAGAATCGTAACTACAACGACCATACCCACCACGCCGCCATTCTCGTCAGAAAAGTCGTTGACTGCCGCCTATGGGGAACCTACTAAATTTCCTTTGTATGCAGAAAGCGAAAAATTTGTCAGTCAGGCCATACAAACGACGAGACATGTCATCGATATTAATGGTAAGTAGCTCGATTTCTTACATTCCAGTATCTATTCAACAGTTTATATACATATCTAACACTGCTAATCCGATTATAATGGTATGGTACCACTTTTAATTCGCTCAAAATTATGCAGATATTAATTATATATTTGTAAGTTTGATAGCATTTTAATAATATTGGGTTGTTCGTTTGGCAAACATGAAGCATTGTGTCCGCCAAAAATCATCATTATCATCATCCCTTTGACTTTTGTAATCGTAGGCGGGGTCTGAATGAAGAAGCTATATTGAACTGTCTATCGACGCCAGCCATCAGCAATTCCGGTATAGTCATATTTGCCCTTTGTTTGACATTGTCCAACCAGTTTTTTGCTTTGGCATCCTCTCTTACGTCCACCTTCAACAGTGCCTTGATGGTCTTGCGCAGGCTGTCGTGCCTTGCCATGCCAAAAAAAAAAAACGGGTTGTCAAAAGGACAACTGTAGCGGAGACTTAACTCGCCGACCCAAAAGGCCTAGAGTCACGTGTATGTTTTGCAATTAAATATGGAGACGACGAATCGGAGAACTTCGGACTGTAGGTGCATCGGGCAGCACTTCGTGTAAGCGGAAGTGGTGATGTCACTTGTAGCCATTTTTATTGGCTGGTTCTGGGCTCTCATTGGCTGAGCGATGCCTGGGTCAGTTACATCAAATCAGGGTACGCTCATTCAAGGGAAGTCTGGCTTCTGACCAGGAATAGCGTATTTGAGATTGTTTTGCCGATGGCACCTATTGGATTTGCATATTTTTCTCTCCCGACCAATTTTCACATAGTGTCACCAATTTTATTTTAACTGCCTTCACATTTCTGAAAGGTTTATTATATAAAAAAGCGATGATTAAAATTGTCGGCGGAACTCATTGCCGCGTATTGGGGAGTTCGTTGACATTTCCTTCTTCTGTGTAAAATGAATCCTATGTTGGATCCGAAGAGACGTCCACAGCCACCGCCTGTTAGGTAAGAGAGTTCAATGGATGGAGAACCGTGGCTTTTCTTCGTCTCTTTGTTGTGTAGGAACCTACCACCCCTCTTGAAGATGAACTCGTCTACAAACAAGGACGTAAAATAGTGGCATGTCAAAAAGACAGTGTAGAAGAAGTTCTGAGCTGAGTTAGTTATAGACTACTCAGGCGATATCTGTACCAACTTACCAACCGAATAAACCCCATTTTATTGTTACATATTATTTGGCGTTTGTCTTTATTAACCCCAAATGAACATCATAACAGTGGCGACGAGAGATTCATTCATCACGCTGAGTGGAGAATTTTTCAACTCTAGGTGGACTATATAATTTTTTTTTCTCGCACTGAAAGAAAAAAAAAAGCAATACGTCGAACTTTTCTTCAAGAAGAAATAGGGTTTCAACGGGCCAAAAAGAACTAAGACTTGTGCTTATTGTTGGATATATACGTGTTTTTCCTTTTTTTGACTGTTTTCGAAAAGTGTTTTGTGTAATCTATTACGCATAATGGAAGATTTGATTGCATTAACGAAAACTCTATTGCAAAACCAAATTCAGCAACAAGAGCAACAAAGATTGCAACAAGAGCAACAAAAATTGTTTCGGGAACAACTATTAGATTTACAAGTTCAGCAGCGAAATGACACAAAGGCTTTATTTGAAGCAATGTTACTAAAGAATCCAGTAAATGCATCATTCACGGCCGAAGGTATTGCTAATTCTATTACCGAGTTCAAATTTAACCCAGAGGAGGGTATAACATTTCCTGCGTATTTCAGAAGATTTGAAACAATATTTTAAAAAAAATGTGAAGGTTGGACTGATGAACAAAAAGTGAGTTTACTTTTACAAAAGTTGGGTACAGATGAAAATAATAAGTATACGAATTTTGTCCTTCCAAGAAAAACTAGTGACATTTCTTTCGAAGAAACTGTTAATACTTTATCTAGTATTTTTGGCGAGCGAGTTAGTTTGTTTCATACTCGTTTCTCGTGTTTGAATATGGTAAATCGTGACGATGAGGATATTGTTACGTATGCTGGAAATGTTAACAGAATGTGTGAACGTTTTATGTTACATGATCTTTCAATTGATCGATTTAAATGTTTGATATTCGTTCAAGGCTTGACTTCTAGCAAAGATAAGGACATAAGGTCCCGAATATTGGCAAAACTCGAACAAAATTCCGAGATTACTTTGCAGAAGGTTACGGAAGAGTGTCAAAGAATTGAAAATTTAAAACATGACAATACGCAAATTGAAGAAAAAGACATATCCCGTGTCCATGCTATTCGACCAAAAACGGGAATAGTTAATAAAAACGTTAAAAAACCAACGTGCTTTGGATGCGGTGGTGGTCATTTTAAAAGTGAATGTTTTTTTCGCGACAAAAATTGCTATACGTGTGGCAATAAAGGCCATATAAGTACTCATTGTAAAAGCAAAAAAAAAAAATTAAGTCGAAAAAAGATATTGTGAATATTGTGTTGTCACGTCAGGAGATTGAGGAGGGGCAGAAAAGAAAATTCGTACAAGTAAAAATTAATGGAAAAAATGTTAAACTACAGCTAGATACTGGAAGTGATATTTCCATTATTAATACAGCAACATGGATTAAAATAGTCAGACCTTTGCTTAAAAAGACTGCAAAAGTGGCTCGCGGGATTTCTAAGACACTAAAGTCTAAAGTGTATGTGCTACAAAATGCTTCAAATTTGTTTGGAACAGATTGGATTATACTGTTTAATTTATGGGAACTCCCTATAAATTCTTTTTGTAATAGAGTTAATGTTTCTTCTCGGTGTAAAAATCGGGTTACAGAAAATTTTGTGAAAGATCTGAAAATAAAATTTCCACAAGTATTTTCAGAAGGTCTTGGATGTTGCAAAAAGGCGAAGGCAAAATTTGAAGTGAAGGAAAATGTAAAACCTATTTTCAAGCGAAAAAGAAATGTGCCATTTGGTGTTTTGGAACAGACTGACAAGGAATTGGAACGGCTTGAAAATTTAGGAGTTATTTCACGCATTGAATTTTCAGAGTTGGCCTGCCCTGTTGTATATGTTAAGAAAAAAAATAATAAAATTCGGATGTGTGCCGATTTTTCTACGGGTCTAAATGATTGTTTAAAAGACCACACATATCCTTTGCCTTCACCAGAAGACATTTTTGCAAGTTTAAGTGGAGGAAAAATATTCTCTAAATTGGATTTATCGGATGCCTATCTCCAAGTGAAAGTGGACGAAGAATGTTCTAAATTGTTGACTATCAATACACACAAGGGTTTATACAAATTTAACCGTTTGCCGTTTGGTTTGAAAGTATCCCCTAGTATTTTTCAGCAAATTATGGACACTGTGCTGGCAGGGTTGGACTTCGCCATTACATGTCTTGATGATATTTTGATAAAAAGTAAAGATCGAAATGAACATTTGGAACATATTAATAAGGTTTTTGAAAAAATTGAAGAATATGGATTCAAACTTGCAGCTGAAAAATGTGAATTTTTTATGAGTGAAATTAAGTTTTTGGGGCAGATAATAGACTCTGATGGAAGAAGACCAGATCCGGCGAGGGCGGAAGCGATCAAAAGCATGCCATCTCCCAAAAATGTAGTAACGTTACAAGCGTTCTTAGGACTTGCTAACTATTATGGGATATATATTCCTAATATGTGCAGCCTTACGGCTCCATTAAATAAGTTGCTTAAAAAGGGAGCAAAGTGGGAATGGTCAGAAGTGTGTCAGAAGGCGTTTGACAAAATAAAGAATATTTTGACGTCAGAATTATCACTAACACATTATGACCCTAAACAGGAAATTATAGTGGCATCGGACGCAAGCGAGTACGGAATAGGTGCGGTAATTTTGCATAAATTCAGAGACGGCAATACGAAGCCAGTGGCACATGCATCAAGGACATTATTACCCGCAGAAAAGAAGTACTCTCAAATTGAGAAAGAAAGCTTAGCTATCATCTATGCTTGTAAAAAATTCCATAAGTTCATACATGGAAGAAGGTTTATATTGCAGACCGACCATCGCCCGCTGCTTTCGATCTATGGTTCTAAGAAGGGTATACCTACTCATACGGCAAACCGTTTGCAACGATTGGGAACCATTTTGTTGAATTATAATTTCAAAATGGAATTTTTATCATCTAAAAAATTAAGCCATGCTGATGGTTTATCTAGACTGATCCCAACGTCTTCGGAACCGCTAGAAGATACAGTGATAGCGTCGTTACAAGCAGAAAATGAATTGGTGGAAGTAATGTATAACACAGTAAAAAGAATTACCGGTGACATTAGATGAAATAAAATTAAAAGCAGAAAATGACATTTTATTAAAAAATGAAAGAAGTTGTAACTTCAGAAAAGTATAAAACTTCTTCACCAGCATATTCAATATGTGATGAAGTGCTGTTATATGCTGGAAGGGTCGTGATACCGGTTGTACTACAAATGCGGATTTTGAAGGAATTTCATCAGGGGTATCCTGGTATTGGACGTATGAAAGCCCTGATGAGGAGTTATGTTTATTGGCCAAATATGGACAAAGACATTGAACAGGTAGTTAAAACTTGTAGAGAGTGTCAAATGGCAGCGAAAGCACCGCCAGTAAAATAAACACCATGGCCAAAAACAGATGTTCCATGGACCAGACTCCACATAGATTATGCTGGACCCATGAATGGTAATTTTTACTTGATAGTTGTGGATAGCTATTCCAAGTGGCCTGAAGTTTTTACGTGCAAAAGACCAACTGCTTCTGTAACAAAAGATTTTCTTACGGAACTGTTTGCACGGTTTGGAGTACCAGAAAAAATTATCACAGATAATGGAACTCAATTCACAGGAAGTGAATTTAAGACGTTTTGTAAGACTCTGGGAATTGACCACATCACGACTTCACCGTACCATCCTAGGTCAAATGGACAGGCTGAACGCTTTGTTGGTACTAATACAGATGATGGTAATATACAGCAGTTTTTAAGTATATACAGAATAACAC